AAATGCGTCCACTTTGCTCAGAACCCGGGCCTCCTTTCCAATTTTGTTAAAATGTGACTGCCACTGTCTGAGTACAGTAGGGTAGTTGGATATAATTCTCTGGCATCCTAAGCGTTCCCCTGTCGCTGCCCTCTTAATTAAACACCGTGTAGCTACACAACAGGGCCCCGCATTTGTCGTGTTACGCAGTTGCGCACTGTGTTGCCCAGTGCTACATTTCCACTGAAACTTTCCACCAATTCCATTTCCAAAATAAGCACCGGATAAATTCTCCTGCTACGAATAAACCACATCCATCGGGCACGCACACATACACACGTGAGTGTATGTGAGTGTTTTGCATGGGAGATCCGGGCTCATAACCAACATGCAAGCCTGGAATCTGGACAGATCCGCCACCCCTGTGCCCGCCGGCCGCCGCTGCTGCAGTAGCAGCAGCAGCCCGCGGTATTTATAGATGCGATCTGGAGCGAGAGAGGAGCAGAGTCGACTGCTCTGAACAGACGCGCCTCTTGATCGCGTGTCACCTGGGTGAGCTTGCGCGCGCAATGGAAGTGCGTAAGAAGAAAAGATACCTGTTGGAAACGGTAAGCCGTCTTTTTTGTTGTTTTGCCCTTTTTCTCTAAACGCGAATTATTTTTCTTCTTCTAACCGTCCGTTTATAACGCCAGGGTTTGTACAGTGTGCCCCGTTGGAATGCGGGCGCGTAGTTCGTGATGAGTTTAACGAGACACGTCCCGGCCCCTTGTGCGTTCACTGGGATTCACTCTCCGTGCGCTCCCCACGGGTTGAGTGAGTGACGTGCGCCGCGCGTTGTAATCAGCGTGACACGGATTAACGAGCTGGTTGTGTTTCTTTTCGCGAGATGTCTTGTGCTTCACTGTTGTCGGGGAGAGCAATTGACTATATATTTAAATGCGCATTGTGTGTTTGTTGTGTAACCTGCCCCATGAACTTTGTAGCTGTCACCCAATTCGTTTGAAAATTTTGGAGCTGACTGCTGAAAGTAAAAAAAATATCCGTGACATTTGCGCTGGCATAATGCTTTGTGCGGCTCATGGAAATGTACCGTGTGAACAACCAGTATGTTCACCCTGAGTGTGTGTACACTCTTGCAACAGGTTTACTGGATTATTTAACAACGCAAATGCTTTGTGTGGCCTTTGTAAATAATTGGTGTGGTCGTGTTTATGCTCCGTCCCCTTGATTTGGTTGCACAAATTCAGCCTGCCTCGCCAAACCAATGCCTTCAGATGTGCGTGCATGCGTTACGTAGTTTGTGTACGCACGCACATCGGTGTACACACACTCGGCGACCCGAGTTCGATACACGCTCACGGCCACCAACACCAGTGGCGATTAACTGAACCGGTCCTGGGCCTCCCTTAGGTCGACTCAAATACGTGCCACGTGCGATGTGGAAAAAACATCTCAACGAGGGAGACAAAAGCGGCCGGGCGTGGTGCTGGCCACCCACCCCCTCGTGTGCCATGCAGGCCTTCATAGGTGCTAGCTTACAGCACTTGCCCCAAAAGTATCTTGAGGCTATATGGGGGATTTTGTCTTGCACGTATTGATAGGTGCCCACTGACAGAATCGGTTGACATTGCCTCAATGGGAAATCCTTGCTTTTGTTGAAGTAAAACCACGGGGAGAGACATGCAAACTCCAAATATACCGGCGTCAGAATTGACATCGAACCCCTGGGCTTGCATACCAGGCAAGGAAGGTAACATCTCACCACTGTGGCGCCCCTTTAATGAATAAAGTATATAAGTTAAAATTGCATGATCAATTCCCAAGCTTCGGAAAGGCAGTGAAATTACAGCAAAAATACTCCTAGACCACACAATTGGGTGAACAACATGATTGGGTGAACAACATAACGCAATGCATTTTTTTTATATATACGGTATAAAATTAGTTTTTTTGAGTATTCTATTTTTAATGTTGCTCAAAACGAAGCAGATGCATCTGGGTATCGGAACAGTTGAGATTTGTCGTTTCTGTTAAAAATGTGTGAATTATCCTCGGATGGACGTAGAGACAGATTGAATGATGGACATCATATTTTCTGTGCACGGAAATACGCAGTTGCTCACCTACATCAAAAGTGGTTAATTAACTCCCGCCTGATTAACGTGCTGCATTGTAGAAATAACATGCATTGTTATTTATAGATGCCAAAAATAGCATCAGAAATTACATTTACCGTGAGAAAAGAGTAAACTTGGCTTTCCACCAGGTGCCAGTAGCTGTTTGTATGACTCATCGATATACTCAACAATTTAATTTGCTTATGGTGCAAGCAAGAGATTGAAATAAACATTTCTCAATTGGCCATCATGTTTCGCATTGGAACTTTTCATGTTTCTGTCACCTATTACCTATCACCGTTATATATTCCTCGTCATAAGTGGTGGGCGCATTGCTTCGCGATGGATGCGCTTGTCAGGGCAAATGCAGATGATAAGTTTGGTGGTGGCATAGCGTGAGAGAGCACCACTACATCATCCGCTCAGGGATAAGGATAACTTGCCGTGCTTGACTGTCCTTTGACATAATGGGCATGCTGATGCACTGTGTTCCTGTCTGGGATGCAGGCATTTTATTAATTATTATTAGATGACTTAGGCAATGCGTTACCCATCAACAAAACGTGTCCCTCTTAATTGTTGTGAATGCAGGCACTACTTGTTTTTGTGGCTCGCTTTCTCCATGAACTAAACCCACAAAGTCAATGTATGGCATTTGACTGTGTAGTCGTCGTTTTTTTCCCCTGGGAGTGAGACTGCCTTCTAAACCCAACGTGGCTCTTTATCTCCCTGTCCAGCTCTGAAATAATGTGGTACCGGTCTATCGCGCCGAGGCTGTGGAAGGCATGCAGTTGGAAGGCGGTGGAAAGAAAATATAAAAGAGCCCGTGTCTTTTGTGCAATCCGTGTGATCGTACAAGATTTTGACATCAGCTCTTAATTTTAGCCTTCGCTTTGAAGAGAAGGCTGCTCAAACAGGGTAGTGCAGAGCCTGGGAACAGATGTTCTCTTGGTAAAAACTTCAGGTGCCATCATCACTCATCTCGCAGGCGTCTATAAACCATGTGAACGCAACACAATCTCACACGGTGCTTGGGGGGGGCCCGTCTTTTTTGGTGCAAGGTTAAAAAAGTTGACGTTTTTACCTCTTATCTCCTTGTTAAAGTGACGTTGGGCGACATCAAACAGTTGCTTTAACGTTCGTCTTCACTCTGATTCTTGATTTGTTATAAACGCCCACTCTACTAGATATCAAATGTGATCATATCATGTCAGCGTGATGTCTTTATTTCCCTGAAAAGGTCAATGTCAAGTACTACCTTTCGCATCGAGAAAAAAAATCGGTTTAAATTCATATTGCAATATTTTTTATCACCCTAGTTATGCATGTTGAAGTACACATTTTAATATCACACAGAGTTTTCCGGTATAGCGGCACGAAGAAAATGTGCTGTGCGATACGTAATTTTTATTTTTATGAATGATGGAAAATGTGTTTTTTACATTTTTTATTCTGAGCTCGTGATTTTATGTATTGAGTTCATGTAAACGTGTCAATTTAATTTTGTTACCTTTTTCAATTGGATTGAAAACAGTGTTCGCTTATGCATAGCAATTGCAAGTGTTAAGACTCATTGTATTGGTTCATATCAATGTATTTGTACCTAGGGATGATTGTTTCATACCTCCAGTACTTTATTTATTGTAGATTTGTTACTCTATGGAATTAAATGTATTTTTTATTAATGTGAATGCTGTTACTTCTGCAGCCTATGGTAAAATATGCAATGACCTTCTTTCGGAGCAGCAGATGTTTTTTCTACAGCAGCCTGGCCTTTCTTTTATCCCATGTTAAATCTTTAAACTAAGAATACCACACTCTTGCCTTGGCAGATGCTTTATTCATGAGCCAGCTGATCTTGACATTAAACACAAACCTGGAATTGAACTTTCAATCATCAGATCATAATCGCCATCTTACTAAATTCAATGTCTGGATGTATAAGCAGGTCCTCTTTGCAATTGATTTTATATTTGCATGCTTACATCTCTTGATTTTTAATCAAAATTGAAAGACACAAATGATAAATACATTAATTCATGTATGTATGTTGAACTTCTTTAGCACTGTACGTAGCCAACTGTGATAATCGGAGGTGCGGTGGAAGGAAGGACAACAAACCAAACACAAAAAGCAGTTCTAAAGGAATGAGTTTTCAATGTAGATTTAAAAATGTATAGCTCCAGTTGCTTACTAATATCGGAGGGTAGAGCATTCAAAACGGTCGCAGAAGCGCATCTAAAACGAGGCGACGCATTGACCTTCTTTGTTCGATGGTGGAGGCCGGGTGGGTGGCTCATGAGACGCTCACGTCATCCGCATGCCAATTGGCACAGTTGGCTATGTACGGTGCAAAAGAAGTTCTACATACATACGTACGTACAATGTGGTGCCGCTGAGAGACAATGTAGATTTCGGAGCCATTTTTGGGGTTTTCTTCTCTCGGCTTTGGGCTTTTTTCTGACCACTGGCCAAACATCCCGAGCAGGACCTCGTAGGGGTGATTGTGAGCCTCGGTGAGCCTTGGAGACTTTCCTGGATAAAGACAAATCATAATCGTTTTTCCTCAATACTGTTGCAGAATATTTGGCCATTTTGTTATGTTTTGCATGGGGAAAGAAACCAAATTAACTTATATGCACTGGAAACCGGGTGCATTTGCGAATTCCACACGCAACTGCATGATTCAGCAAATGTTTCCCTCCAATGTGGTGGATTACAGGCAGTGGGTGTATCCTGATCGTCACGGGTCCCGCTGTTTCGGAATGAAATGGGGCCCCCGTGTCCAATTTCCCCCCGTGAACCCTGATCGAAGTTGCACAACTTGCACACCGCATAGCGATGCCACCGTTTACCGTGGTTATTATTATTGCTGCTGCATGCTTTTCCGCTTTGTCCTTTCAGTCAGACGCGGCGACCAGCTTCTTGCGCGCTGCTCGCAATGGGAACCTTGAGAGGCTCATGGACCACCTCAAGGGAGGCATGGACATCAACACCTGCAACCAGGTACTCCGCATGCCGTCAGGCTGCACATGGGCAGCCTCGCGCACACTCCGGGCCGATACAGGCGCAACCGTTTTGTCCTTGCATGAACACCGCCACCTTCATATGTGTGGTGGGTCCAACTGAGTCGCAGACGTTGTTCCTTTTAGAGGCAACACTTTTATTTGTAACACAAGGGGGTAACTGCCCCTGACACTCACCCCCTCCCCCTCCACACACTGTGCGTGGTGCCCGCACTATCCCAGTGCTCGCCAAGCCCCGCTAGGGCTGGTGTTACACACAGCCACCCGCACAGTGCTGTCCCCGCTAGGGCTGTGTCACACACATCCACACACACGGTGTTGTCCACGCTAGGGCTGTGTCACACACATCCACACACACGGTGTTGTCCACGCTAGGGCTGGTGTTACACACAGCCACCCGCACAGTGCTGTCCCCGCTAGGGCTGTGTCACACACAGCCACACACACGGTGCTGTCCACGCTAGGGCTGGTGTTACACACAGCCACCCGCACAGTGCTGTCCCCGCTAGGGCTGTGTCACACACATCCACACACACGGTGTTGTCCACGCTAGGGCTGTGTCACAGCCACACACACGGTGCTGTCCCCGCTAGGGCTGGTGTCACACACAGCCACCCACACGGTGCTGTCCCCCCTAGGGCTGTGTCACACACAGCCACACACACGGTGCTGTCCCCACTAGGGCTGGTGTTACACACAGCCACCCGCACAGTGCTGTCCCCGCTAGGGCTGTGTCACACACAGCCACACACACGGTGCTGTCCACGCTAGGGCTGGTGTTACACACAGCCACCCGCACAGTGCTGTCCCCGCTAGGGCTGTGTCACACACATCCACACACACGGTGTTGTCCACGCTAGGGCTGTGTCACACACAGCCACACACACGGTGCTGTCCCCGCTAGGGCTGTGTCACACACAGCCACACACACGGTGCTGTCCACGCTAGGACTGGTGTCACACACAGCCTCCCACACGGTGCTGTCCCCGCTAGGGCTGTGTCACATACAGCCACCCACACGGTGATGTCCACGCTAGGGCTGTGTCACACACAGCCACCCACACGGTGCTGTCCCCGCTAGGGCTGGTGTCACACACAGCCACCCACACGGTGCTGTCCACGCTAGGGCTGTGTCACACACAGCCACTCACACGGTGCTGTCCACGCTAGGGCTGTGTCACACACAGCCTCCCACACGGTGCTGTCCCCGCTAGGGCTGTGTCACACACAGCCACACACACGGTGCTGTCCACGCTAGGACTGGTGTCACACACAGCCTCCCACACGGTGCTGTCCATGCTAGGGCTGGTGTCACACACAGCCACACACACGGTGCTGTCCCCGCTAGGGCTGGTGTCACACACAGCCTCCCACACGGTGCTGTCCACGCTAGGGCTGTGTCACACACAGCCACCCACACGGTGCTGTCCCCACTAGGGCTGTGTCACAGCCACACACACGGTGCTGTCCACGCTAGGGCTGTGTCACACACAGCCACACACACGGTGCTGTCCCCACTAGGGCTGTGTCACACACAGCCACCCACACGGTGCTGTCCACGCTAGGGCTGTGTCACACACAGCCACACACACGGTGCTGTCCCCACTAGGGCTGGTGTCACACACAGCCACCCACACGGTGCTATCCCCGCTAGGGCTGTGTCACACACAGCCACACACACGGTGCTGTCCCCACTAGGGCTGGTGTCACACACAGCCACCCACACGGTGCTGTCCCCGCTAGGGCTGTGTCACACACAGCCACCCACACGGTGCTGTCCCCGCTAGGGCTGTGTCACACACAGCCACACACACGGTGCTGTCCCCGCTAGGGCTGTCTCACACACAGCCACCCACACGGTGCTGTCCCCGCTAGGGCTGTGTCACAGCCACACACACGGTGCTGTCCCCGCTAGGGCTGTGTCACAGCCACACACACGGTGCTGTCCCCGCTAGGGCTGGTGTCACACACAGCCACCCACACGGTGCTGTCCCCCCTAGGGCTGTGTCACACACAGCCACACACACGGTGCTGTCCCCACTAGGGCTGGTGTTACACACAGCCACCCGCACAGTGCTGTCCCCGCTAGGGCTGTGTCACACACAGCCACACACACGGTGCTGTCCACGCTAGGGCTGGTGTTACACACAGCCACCCGCACAGTGCTGTCCCCGCTAGGGCTGTGTCACACACATCCACACACACGGTGTTGTCCACGCTAGGGCTGTGTCACACACAGCCACACACACGGTGCTGTCCCCGCTAGGGCTGTGTCACACACAGCCACACACACGGTGCTGTCCACGCTAGGACTGGTGTCACACACAGCCTCCCACACGGTGCTGTCCCCGCTAGGGCTGTGTCACATACAGCCACCCACACGGTGATGTCCACGCTAGGGCTGTGTCACACACAGCCACCCACACGGTGCTGTCCCCGCTAGGGCTGGTGTCACACACAGCCACCCACACGGTGCTGTCCACGCTAGGGCTGTGTCACACACAGCCACTCACACGGTGCTGTCCACGCTAGGGCTGTGTCACACACAGCCTCCCACACGGTGCTGTCCCCGCTAGGGCTGTGTCACACACAGCCACACACACGGTGCTGTCCACGCTAGGACTGGTGTCACACACAGCCTCCCACACGGTGCTGTCCATGCTAGGGCTGGTGTCACACACAGCCACACACACGGTGCTGTCCCCGCTAGGGCTGGTGTCACACACAGCCTCCCACACGGTGCTGTCCACGCTAGGGCTGTGTCACACACAGCCACCCACACGGTGCTGTCCCCACTAGGGCTGTGTCACAGCCACACACACGGTGCTGTCCACGCTAGGGCTGTGTCACACACAGCCACACACACGGTGCTGTCCCCACTAGGGCTGTGTCACACACAGCCACCCACACGGTGCTGTCCACGCTAGGGCTGTGTCACACACAGCCACACACACGGTGCTGTCCCCACTAGGGCTGGTGTCACACACAGCCACCCACACGGTGCTATCCCCGCTAGGGCTGTGTCACACACAGCCACACACACGGTGCTGTCCCCACTAGGGCTGGTGTCACACACAGCCACCCACACGGTGCTGTCCCCGCTAGGGCTGTGTCACACACAGCCACCCACACGGTGCTGTCCCCGCTAGGGCTGTGTCACACACAGCCACACACACGGTGCTGTCCCCGCTAGGGCTGTGTAACACACAGCCACACACACGGTGCTGTCCCCGCTAGGGCTGTGTCACAGCCACACACACGGTGCTGTCCCCGCTAGGGCTGTGTCACAGCCACACACACGGTGCTGTCCCCGCTAGGGCTGGTGTCACACACAGCCACCCACACGGTGCTGTCCCCCCTAGGGCTGTGTCACACACAGCCACACACACGGTGCTGTCCCCACTAGGGCTGTGTCACACACAGCCACACACACGGTGCTGTCCCCCCTAGGGCTGTGTCACACACAGCCACACACACGGCGCTGTCCCCGCTAGGGCTGGTGTCACACACAGCCACCCACACGGTGCTGTCCCCCCTAGGGCTGTGTCACACACAGCCACACACACGGTGCTGTCCCCGCTAGGGCTGGTGTCACACACAGCCACCCACACGGTGCTGTCCCCTCTAGGGCTGTGTCACACACAGCCACACACACGGTGCTGTCCCCACTAGGGCTGTGTCACACACAGCCACACACACGGTGCTGTCCCCACTAGGGCTGTGTCACACACAGCCACACACACGGTGCTGTCCCCACTAGGGCTGTGTCACACACAGCCACACACACGGTGCTGTCCCCCCTAGGGCTGTGTCACACACAGCCACACACACGGTGCTGTCCACGCTAGGGCTGGTGTCACACACAGCCACCCACACGGCGCTGTCCCCGCTAGGGCTGTGTCACACACAGCCACCCACACGGCGCTGTCCCCGCTAGGGCTGTGTCACACACAGCCACCCACACGGTGCTGTCCCCACTAGGGCTGTGTCACACACAACCACCCACACGGTGCTGTCCCCACTAGGGCTGTGTCACACACAGCCACCCACACGGGGCTGTCCCCACTAGGGCTGTGTCACACACAGCCACACACACGGTGCTGTCCCCACTAGGGCTGGTGTCACACACAGCCACCCACACGGCGCTGTCCCCGCTAGGGCTGTGTCACACACAGCCACCCACACGGTGCTGTCCCCACTAGGGCTGTGTCACACACAGCCACCCACACGGTGCTGTCCACGCTAGGGCTGTGTCACACACAGCCACCCACACGGTGCTGTCCACGCTAGGGCTGTGTCACACACAGCCACCCACACGGTGCTGTCCCCACTAGGGCTGTATCACACACAGCCACCCACACGGTGCTGTCCCCGCTAGGGCTGTGTCACACACAGCCACCCACACGGTGCTGTCCCCACTAGGGCTGTGTCACACACAGCCACCCACACGGTGCTGTCCACGCTAGGGCTGTGTCACACACAGCCACCCACACGGCGCTGTCCCCACTAGGGCTGTGTCACACACAGCCACCCACACGGCGCTGTCCCAACTAGGGCTGTGTCACACACAGCCACCCACACGGTGCTGTCCCCGCTAGGGCTGTGTCACACACAGCCACCCACACGGCGCTGTCCCCGCTAGGGCTGTGTCACACACAGCCACCCACACGGCGCTATCCCCACTAGGGCTGTGTCACACGCAGCCACCCACACGGTGCTGTCCCCGCTAGGGCTGTGTCACACACAGCCACCCACACGGTGCTGTCCCCGCTAGGGCTGTGTCACACACAGCCACCCACACGGCGCTGTCCCCACTAGGGCTGTGTCACAGCCACACACACGGTGCTGTCCACGCTAGGGCTGTGTCACACACAGCCACCCACACGGTGCTGTCCCCACTAGGGCTGTGTCACAGCCACACACACGGTGCTGTCCACGCTAGGGCTGTGTCACACACAGCCACACACACGGTGCTGTCCC